ATATCGAGGAAACTTGTAATGACGTCGTGATTTTGATTAAAAAATGCCTTGAAACTCTTTTACAAGAGTCATAGTTTTAAGTAGGTGTTTATGTCTGTGAATGCGTTAACTACTTCCTTGTCGATCTTTTATCAATAGTCCGAAAAAACACATTTTATTTTAATATATAAATCGTTGATAGTTCATTAGTCAAACGAATAATACACCATCAGAAACCATTTTTACTCATTTTTACTCATTTTAATTTAATGGTGAATTCAAAATTAAAGAAGTAATAGTTACAGGAACACTTTATATTGAAAACGCTATTACATGTTATTTTTAAATATTTAGGGACAGGTGATAAACATATAATGAAATATATTCCTTCTCTCATTTCACTTTTGATTACTGTCAGATCACTTGGTTTTATATCATGAAAAGTTAAGCAGAAGTTTATTAATTTGTTTAATTATTTCGACATTTAATGGATCAAAATCCAATGTTATATGCAACTAGACAACATGAAAATTTAAATTGGACATAGAGAAAGAAATAGTAATTTTAATAATGAATTTACAGGAACAGCTGTGCAAGAAAAATTGCACAGAATCAAAGAAAATATTTAAATTACTAATATTTATTTGTAGAAATACAATACAATTCATTAGATCACGAGACTTGTACTTATTTCTGTAATTTAAGTATTGGAAAATTCCATTTTTTCTAAAATGTTTAGGTGGCATTTCGAAAGCTAACGAAGGTTACTAAATTTACATATATTATAGTATACTCAATTTTAAAAAATTACTATTATATTAGAACATCGAAAACGATACAAATTCTGTTACTTTTTATGAACCTTTAAAGAGTAAATAACGTTTCTAGTGCAGATTGAAACGTGAGTAATTTCCTGAGGATTGTTTATTTCTTTGCAGCATTTTGGGGAGACTATAGCTTCGTCGTGATACATTTGATAAAGCGGAGTCTAAGAAATCGCGCTCATGCATTTCCGTCGAACGAGCAAAAATCGGTTACGCGTCGACGCTAATTTCTTTCGACGAACAATCCTCTTTAGACCGCGGAAAAGAAACTTCCCGAGTCTCCTGGGGACGTCCAATCCCGTTTCTTTTGCGGGACACAGTGTGCAACGTGTTCGAAGTACGTTAACCACGGTGTTTTATTCGACTCACGATCTCGCGATTGATCGAACTAGATCTTAAACATCCCTTCGATGAGTCCCCCATGACAGAGAACTGTTTACGAGTGTTTCCTAAGGGACGACTGTTGAGATTTTTTGGTGGATAATGGTACGAAAGTGTGACGCGAACTGTTGCGAGTGATCGACGAAAACCAACGCAATGTATTCGAGAATTAGTTGTCAGTGAATCTTAAATGAAACACGCGAGTGTGGAACGTAAATGGAGGGAAGTCTCTCAACATTCGGCGGGCCAAGTTGGGGGGCGGATAGCACGAGCCCTCAGCCACCGGAAACGACGAGATCCAGGGTGCAGGCGGAGACTCCAAGTCCAGTAGACCCTCTCTTGGACGATCGTAGGCTCCAAGTCAATTCCATACGAGGTACACGATGGTGCAACGAACTTTATTTTAACAACTACAATTGTATTTCTCATTTTCATTATTATCCCACGAAAGTATTTTATTTTTGTACATTTCATTTTGTTGGATCTTTTTAAAAGATTCGAGCAACGACCAGCGTTGAAAATCTTTAAACCAATTTTTGTTTTTTTTTTTTATATCAAGCTTTATTATCTATGAACGCCACGATTCAAATACATTTTAATACGAGCAAAGATCTTTTCTTTTTAATTTCTATAAAGAGGACACTGGTAATGTGTTACAGGATGCGTTAAATGTCAACTATTAGGTCATGTATTCTTGTGTCAAGTAAGAAGAAAACAGCGTCGCGTTACTGTTTAGAAACACCATTGAAAAAACTCATTCTTTTCATTCTCTAATTAAAAAGATTTTGTTTGGTACCATGCAATTATGATTACAAGATTTCTGTCTTGTTTTTCTTTTTTTATATCTCTTCGAATTATTTGAACGAATATAATTCAAGGAGCAAATTTCAAAACACATATTTTAATAATCATAGTCGTATTCATTGACAATGGACAAATTATATTTATTAACTTATCTCTGCTGTAAAACTTCATCTAAATGTAAATTAATTCGTTTCAAATTATAATTGAAATTTTCATGTAAAAAATAAATTCGAGTCTTTAAAACATGGCATGTTTCACAATAAATAAATTACTTTATATGGATGATAAATATATTACTTATTACTCTTGGATGCAACATTTTATTATTATAAGAAATTAATTATTCACATCCCTTAAAGTTTAAGGAAGAGGAGAAAAGAATGTAAAGGGAAAGTTAAGAATTTTACTACTTGATTTTATTGCTTGACAAATTTCATTCAGTGGTTTTATTATATGAAAAGATAAACAGAATTTTGTAATGAAATTTTAATTTACATTTTATCTCTATGGAGCAGCGATTTTCAACCAAGGTGCCACGAGTTATTATTGCAGTGAACAAATAAATCTTTTGTTTTATTTAATAAACGGATAGCGTTTGCATATTGTAATACTACAAAAGGGACGAATTAACAGAAATAAGGAATGAACGAGAATTAAAACTTAAACATTCATCAAAATACTAATTTGATTATTTCTTTGCTTTATATTTGGAGCTAGCTTTTTTATATTAAATAATATCAAAAACAAAAACAGATCGTGGACGATGTATTAAAACGACGACAAGCTCAAATATCTCATTAACTAATTATTTTACATATATATACAAAAGAAAATATTATATTTATTATATAATATAAAGAAGAAAAGTATGTTTCTTATACAGGATGTTCGGCCAACCCTGGAAATTTTTAAATTTTAATGGGAGATTCTAGAGACCAAAATAACACGAAAATCAAGAATATCAATTTTTTGACTGAGGCTTCGTTAAAAAGTTATTAAAAAATTAAATTACAAAATTTCAAAACATTCTGAAAAAATTATTTTTGGTTGCAGGGGTCAATTATACTCATTTTTGGTCAATAGACACACTCCTGAAATCCTAACCACTTTCGAGAAAAAAATTCTTTACCGAAAACATAATTTCTGGCCAGAAATGCTTTCTCGAAATGTCAAACAAATGTTCAAAATATCATAACTTTTGAACGGTTTGGAGGATTTGAATGTTTCAAAAGGCAAACAACGCGTATTTTAGTGGAGAATATGCAGCAATCGCAAAAATATTCGTAAAGTTGATCCTTGACATCGCAAAATTAGAAAAACCCCCATAAAAATGGTCCAATTTTCAAACGACCATAATTTCTACAATAGTGAATATATTTCATTGAAATTTCGGGGGAAACTAGAATTAATGGATACCTACAAAAAAGTATTAAACAACTTTTCTGCGCAGCGCCAACCAAATTTATTAAAAACGAAAAACGAGTTTTTAAGAAAAATCGTGCCTAAATTTTTCGACAAAAATAAAAAATTACAAATCGTTCTGGAAAAATTATTTTCGGTTACGCTGGGCAATTACAATAATTTTTTGTGAATAGACATACCCCCCAAATCTTATGCACTTTCGAGAAAAAAATTCAGGTAGGTGGACAAATTTTTTGACAAAATTAAAAAATTTCAAATCGTTCTGGAAAAATTATTTTCGGTTACGGGGGTCAATTACAATAATTTTTGGTATATAGACATATCCCCGAAATCCGGCGCCTTTTTTAGAAAAAAATTCATTACGAGCGGAACTTTAAACGTTAATAACTTTTTAACAAAGCCTCCATCAACAAATTGGTATTCTTAATTTTCGTCTTATTTTGGCCTCTAGAATTTCCCATTACAATTTTTCCCAGGGGGGCCGAACACCCTGTATATGTATAGATATGTATTATATGTATATATTTTTTACAAAAGAGACATACTTTCCTTTTCACATGTCATTAAATAGTGGTTACTCTGTTGCCAATTTTGAACAAAAATATGAATTTTTCTTATCATCGATGGATACAAAAATTTTCTATATTTTTTGGCGCGCCGTGAACTAAAGGGGTTGAAAATCGCTGCAACGTGCGGAAAATCAAAGTCTCTAGAAAATCTAGCGCATGAAAGACGTCTTTGAATCGGATCCGTATTTACGGTACACAATGGCTCGTTTCTTTTTCGCGTTGATTTTCCAGCAGAAACCGCGACGAATTTATCGTTCTGTTATCACACCACGTTACGGCGATACGAAATCTCTGGTGAAACTCTAGCGGATCGCTCATGATGCACTTAAACGCAGCCACGGTTGCATCGCAATAGAGCCCGCCGTCTTTAATTGTCTTCCAATCAAAAGGTTATCCATAAATATACTATGTGGGAACGATCATTGGTGTGATGAACTTTGACGAGCCAGGAATAAGGTGACCGGTAGATGAAACACCAGACAATCCACCCTTGCCCCGCGAAACGACCAAACAGTCAACAAAACCGTTTTTACGAGAATTGATGACGGTCCAATCTGAAAATAACACCGTCTAATATTTCGTGTCAGCCTAATGCTACGTGCATTTATCGAGTATCGATGTTAAGGCTTCATCCCCGAGTGAATCTCGTTGGTCTTATTTTCGTCAATCGTAAGTTAAATGTACATCGTTGGGTTCTAAGATTAAATTGAATATATAATTACGTTAAATATTTGAACCAAAGTCGATGGTATCGTGTGTCTACAGCTGACGCGTCAAGTTAGCATAAAGGGAGGAGCGTCCACCTTTCGATGTATAAGATTGATAAAAATTGAAAACGTGCGAACATCAACAGACGTGCAATTTTCAACGATTGCAGTCGCCTTTTTGTCGATTTCGTCGCTGACACGGACCGAAAACATGCAGATTAACGATGCTGTCTGACACGGCGGCGCTACATAACAATTATCGTATCGGTCGCATCAATCTGCTAACGACAAACTTTCTTCTTTTCTGTTTTCAGCCCAGATCGAAATAATCCCGTGCAAGGTGTGCGGCGACAAGAGCAGCGGCGTCCATTATGGCGTGATCACCTGCGAGGGCTGCAAAGGCTTCTTCAGGCGGTCCCAGTCGTCGGTCGTCAACTATCAATGTCCGCGGAGCAAGAATTGTGTGGTCGACCGTGTAAACAGAAACCGGTGCCAGTATTGTCGGTTGCAAAAGTGCCTACGCCTCGGCATGTCCAGAGATGGTGAGTGCATATCGTTTATTCGAGCCTTCGTTTTCTTGTTCTACGTGACGAGGTCCTCAAGGTTGCGAGAACTTGCGTTAATTTGCGTTTAATAGGTAATCGTCGCGATTAAGAAACCGCGACGTTAGCGAATGATTCATTGATCGCGCAGAGCAGGCATGTCGAACAGATCTTGTTTGGATCAAGTTCTGTATCACTTTCGGAATAAACGAAATTATATAACCTATAACTAGAAATAATTTTCAAAAATTGAGGGAATAATCTTTAATTACATAAGAATCAAAATAAAGATGTTTAAATTCAGGATATTCATAACTTCAGTATCATTGATGACCAATAGATTTAATTGTAAACAAAATTGGATTTCATATTTCATCAATAAAATATAATGTTTTTACTAATGGAAATACAATAATTATTACAATTATTATAGGTAAAATTGTTTATAAATATTTTATAGTGTACAAAAGTAAAATTTGTTTAATCATTCAGAAGTCATTTTGATGGGATATACAGATGTATGAGTTTGGTATTAGAAAAACATTTGATATCTTTTTCTTTATATGCAAGGATCCATATAGAGTAAACAAAATTAGAAATTATTTTTAGAAAATAAGTAACAAATATTTTGTATAATATACAAAAGTAAAATTTATTTAATCTTTCAGAAATAATTTTGAGTCTTTTATTAGAAAAACATTTGGTACCTGTTTCTTTATATGCAAGGGTCCATGTAGTATAAATTCAATTACTTGAAGTACTATTACATTTTTTTTTCACTTATTTATCAAAAGTATAGGGATTTTTGTATTATTCAATATCTCTAATTTTAGAAAAAAATATTGTGACTCTTAAAACCTCTGTTCTTCATTGCAGTAATTCCAAAATGTCTGGAACGCTTGTACCAGTCACTGTTGCCTAAATATTAAATAAAAATCTCGATCAGTCGTTGTATTACGATTACTATTATTTTCTTCACCGCGTATATAATTTACGATAATCACATTTTATTGTTTACATCTCAAATACTAAAACTTGAGTACAGATTTAAATAACCATACTTTGACAAACGCTACAATAATAACCTTTTCTTTAGTATTTCGTTTACCCTTTTAAAATTTTTATTTCATAAAAATAGAATAATAAATAAACTTGAGCATTGCTTTTTTTATTATATTTACATTGCACTTATAATTGCGTGTTAAACTTTTGTAACTTTATAAGGCTATTTCGATATTTGACAAAACAGTTTACGGTGACATTTAACTAGATCATTTATAGGGGATGAAAAATATACTTTTCTCGAACTCGGTACAAAACCTCTAACCATATAACTTTTAAAATTGAATCATCTTGATTTTTTAGATGCTTTGTTGTTTAATAAATGCTGTTTACATAATTATGTACTCCCCAAAAATATAGATAGTACACGTTGAACAAAATTTTACGTAATAAAAGAGTCAAGTGTCCGACGTGTCTGGTGTAGGGATTATGGATCTGACAATTTATTGTACGGCGAGTTTACACGACAAGGTGCATCGACAGTTATATCGACCTGTCGTACGATGTTTTTCTAACAGACGTAACGACCCATCGACATTTCTTATCGAGGGGTACGCTTGGCTGCAAGAAAAAAAAAAGAATTTCCTCTTCGACGCTTATATTTCGAGACTGAAATCGTCAGATAATCTTTCAAACCGATCGCTGAACGGCCAAATACGTTTCAACGCGTGCGTCGTTTATCAAACATAAAGTACAGGTGCAATACTGCTTCCACGCAAAATTATCGCAGCGTTCGACAAGTTGTGCAACTTCAAAATTTTGTTATCCTTCGTATAATTCTATAAAAAATCATTTACATTGAAAATACATTTCTCTTTTGTTCTGTGAGTACTGTGGCGGCCAAGGCACCACATACGCCTTAGCCGTTCGAAGCCGCTACAATGTATGGTTGCACACGAGACGATGGTTGCACACGAGACGACCAGAGCCGCGTGAGCCGAAAAGCCGTTGTCGTCGTCTCTGACCGTCTTTTGTTTTTGAAGGCCTCTTGGTACGGTGGCGATGATCGTACCAGAGAGTCGAGCGTAACCCGCACCACGAGTCACGTCGTTGTACGACAGCAACAATAAAATTGTGCGGAACGGAACAGAGCGGAGTCATTATCTTCCCGATCCCACATTGGTGACCCCGACGTGATCTCGCCGCGCAAGTAAAGTTTTTTTAAGAAAATTTGGACATTTTTCGTATACGGACAATATTAGTTAGGGTAGAGAAATAAGTGTATAGTGTTAAGGACATAAGAAAAGGACACGGTCTGACAAATAGTAAGCGCGGTGTGTGTGTGCGGTGAAACTATGTGACTAAGACTGGTAAAATGACTGACCCTAACGTTAACGCAGGGACATCCGCGGGTGTGCCGTTGGCAGTTGATCGCGTCGCTGTACGGATACCCGAGTTTTGTCCGGGAGACCCGGAGATGTGGTTTTCAATGGTAGAGAGAAGTTTTGAGGTATCCAATGTAACGTCGGAGACCACGAAATTCGGGTACATTCTCGGCGCGTTAAGTGCGCGACACGCCGCGGAAGTAAGAGACATTATCATGAATCCCCCGGCCGCGGATCCGTACACGACGCTAAAAAATGAGTTCATTCGCCGGCTTAGTGCGTCGCAGGAACAGAAAACGCGGCGGTTATTGGAACACGAGGAAATCGGGGACAGAAAACCGTCCCAATTTCTTCGTCACCTGCGCGGATTGGCCGGTACGGCTTTTTCGGACGGTGTATTGCGGACGCTTTGGATGGGCCGACTACCTGCTAATATGCAGGTGATTTTATCCACGCAGCGGGACACCCCGCTGGATAAGGTAGCAGAGTTGGCAGACGCTGTCGCGGATACGATGACACCGCGGGTACACGTCACGGAGGCCGCGACTACGGGCGTATCTGCATCCTGCCAAATACCCCCGCCGGGCCCGAGCATCGAGGCCATGTTAAACATTAAGATGTCGCAATTGGCTCTTTCCTTGAGGCAGGAAATTTCTGCCATCCGTGAATCCTTGGTGGACCAGGGGCAATCTTCCCGTCGCAGGTGGACCCACCGAAATCATCCAAACTCGCGCTACCGCAGACGATCTCTATCGCGATCGCGAGAGCGGCCCGCGGGAGGACAAATGGACCATCAAGGGAAATGCTGGTACCATTGGCGGTTCGGTCCGGCCGCGCAGAGGTGCGTTGCACCGTGCAATTGGAACGCCACGGATCAGGGAAACGACCTGGGGAGTCGTTGATGGCGGCCAGCGACACAAATCCAGCATCACGCCGCCTCTTCATTTTAGACAACAGCTCGAAGACGGAATTTTTAGTGGATACCGGGGCCGATTTGTGCGTTTTTTCCGCGCCGCCTGCTAGGCGGATTGCGAGAAAGATCGGAGTACCAGCTGGCGGCGGCGAATGGGAGTGTAATTAACACCTACGGGACAGTGTCGTTAAACCTGCACCTCGGCCTACGACGGGATTTCGTGTGGCGATTCGTGGTTGCGGATGTTACAAAACCCATAATCGGGGTAGACTTTCTCGATCACTTCGATCTTATGGTGGACATCCGCAATCGTCGCCTCGTCGATCGGACCACGTCGTTAACGGTCCGCGGAACACGAGCCGAGGATGAAACGCCGTCGGTGAAGACAGTAGCAGGGACTACCGTTTACCACCAGCTCCTGATGCAGATGCCGGAACTTACACGGCCTAGCGGCACCCCGATGAGGACTACGCACCAAACGGTGCATTACATCGAGACAACCCCTGGACCACCCGTTTCCAGCAAGCCGCGGCGGCTTGCACCGGACCGGCTCAGGGCTGCCCAGAAGGAGTTCGACGCGATGGTGAAGATGGGCATCGCTTGTCCTTCGAAGAGCGCGTGGTCAGCACCCCTTCATATGGTTCCGAAGAAGGGCGAAGAAGCTTGGAGGCCTTGCGGTGACTATAGAGCGTTAAACGCACGGACAATTCCCGACCGATACCCCGTGCGTCACATTGAGGATTTTGCGCAACAACTGAGTGGCAAAAAGGTATTTTCCACAATAGATCTCGTCCGAGCTTATAATCAGATTCCGGTTGCATCGGAAGACGTCGGAAAAACGGCCATTACAACGCCGTTTGGGCTTTTTGAATTCCCGTACATGTCGTTCGGGTTACGAAATGCCGCGCAAACATTTCAGCGCTTTATCGACGAAATTTTACGCGGTTTCGATTTTTGTTACGCGTATATAGACGACATTTTGGTCGCCTCAGAATCCCAAGCCGATCACCTGCGCCATTTAGAATTATTATTTAAACGATTAAAAGATTATGGCATTGTTGTTAATCCGAATAAATGCACGTTCGGACAGGAAGAAGTTAAATTTCTAGGCTATCGGGTAAATGAAAGCGGCACTCAACCTTTGCCCGGCAAGGTACAAGCCATAAAGTCATTTCTCCTTCCGAAAAACGCGAAGGATTTGAGGCAGTACTTGGGAATGCTTAATTTTTACCGCCGTTTTATCCCAGATGCCGCTCGCTTTCAAGCACCCTTGAACGACCTTCTAGCCGGCAATTTAAAGGGCAAGACCTCGATAGCCTGGACTTCGGAAGCGCGTCAGGCTTTCGAAAATACCAAAAATAGTTTAGCAAACGCAACCCTGCTTTCTCATCCTGCGGTCAACGCTCCATTGTCGGTTACCTGCGATGCTTCTGATTACACCGTAGGAGCTGTTTTACATCAGTGCGTCGGCAACGAACGACAACCATTAGCATTCTTTTCTAAGAAATTAGGATCTGCCGAAAAGAAGTATTCAGCTTACGACCGGGAACTACTTTCTATCTATTTAGCAATAAAACATTTCAAACATATGCTCGAAGGCAGACATTTCACGATTTTTACAGACCATAAACCCATAACTTTCGCTTTCAAACAGAAATTAGATAAATGCTCTCCTCGACAATTCCGATACCTAGATTACA